CCAATCAGAACCAATCAGAACTGACCAGAACCAATCAGAACCAATCAGAACTGACCAGAACCAACCACAACTGACCAGAACCAACCACAACTGACCGGAACCAATCAGAACAGACCAGAACCAATCAGAACTGACCGGAACCAATCAGAACTGACCAGAACCAATCAGAACTGACCAGAACTGACCAGAACCAATCAGAACCAATCAGAACTGACCAGAACCAATCAGAACCAATCAGAACTGACCAGAACCAACCACAACTGACCAGAACCAACCACAACTGACCAGAACCAATCAGAACCAATCAGAACTGACCAGAACCAATCAGAACCAATCAGAACTGACCAGAACTGACCAGAACCAATCAGAACCAATCAGAACTGACCAGAACCAATCAGAACCAATCAGAACTGACCAGAACCAACCACAACTGACCAGAACCAACCACAACTGACCAGAACCAACCACAACTGACCAGAACCAATCAGAACTGACCAGAACCAATCAGAACCGATCAGAACCGATCAGAACCAATCAGAACCAATCAGAACCGATCAGAACCAATCAGAACCGATCAGAACCGATCAGAACCGATCAGAACCAATCAGAACCCATCAGAACCGATCAGAACCAATCTGACAGGAGTCCACAGAGCTTCCTGTTTCCAGGTCATGGAGAGATGTTTGGGCAGTTGGTGCTGCTGTCCAGAATGTCTCCATCTGACCTCTGACCTTTGACCTCTGACCTCTGACCTCTGACCTCTGACCTTTGACCTCTGACCTCTGACCTCTGACCTCTGACCTTTGACCTCTGACCTCTGACCTTCACAGCCTTTAAAGATCAGAGCAGATTTAAAAAGTAAAACTAAAGACTGTAAATCCTCCTGAGAACAAACAAACAAACAAACAAACAAACAAACAAACAAATCTGATTCATGTGTGAAGTAAATCTCCTGATGAAACAGGCTCTTTAATTTCTATTTTGTTTACTTTTTATCTGTGTTAACATGTATGTTGTTTACTTTGTTTACATCTGTTAACATGTATGTTGTTTACTTTGTTTACACATGTTAACATGTATGTTGTTTACTTTGTTTACATCTGTTAACATGTATGTTGTTTACTTTGTTT